TTAGATTTTTTGTGTGTGGGAGGATCCAACGTGGCAGATTATGCAGCTATACTACCTCAATCCTCTACAACAAAGACCTGAAAAATGAAGTGAAATGGATTTGGGTGACAATGCAGGAACCCAAAGCTTCAAAGGAAAGGATAAAGACATACATCAAATACCTGTTAGAAGAAGAGACAGGATGAAAACAGAGAATAAGAGGGCATATGGAACCCAACAGGCGTGGCAGAGCACAGCCATTTTGAATGATTTCAGGCAGCATTCCCATCAGGGCTAGAACAAAACAACCAACTTCACTCGCCTAGTACTGACATATACAAGAGCTTGAGAAAACAAATGTCAACCAAGAATTACAAATCCAGCAAACTGTTCCTCATACACAATGATCAAATTAGAGCATTTCCAGATAAACACGAATCAAGGGAAACTGTAAAAACCAGACCGACTTTACAAAAAGTACTAAAGGAAGTCCTTTAGACAGAGAACCAGCAATCGCAGACAACAGCTTAAGATAAAGACACACAAAAACACTGCCTGAAAAACAAGCCAGTTATAGAAGTATGAAAAAGAAAATAAACCTACAAGAATGGAAATAGAGAAATACAGAGACCACTTTGTAAACAGCTACAAAGCAAAAAGAGGGAATAAAGAGGTAGTTTCAGTACCTCCATATGGAGAGATAATCAAAATGGTATCAAGATAGAACAAACTGCTTTAAAGGTGGGATGAAAACAATAAATTACAAAATGACCTCAGAGAAAATTAATAAATTTTCTTTCCAAAATGAAAATAGGAAAAACCATACTCAATAAACACTAAAAGAAAGAAAACCCATAAACAAAATGACAAAATGAATTCAGCACAGAAAAATATTTGGAATGCAGAAACTGTCAACACCACAGAAACACATAAAATGATAACAATAAATTTATACCTATTGATATTACATTGAATATAAATGGATTTGATGTACCAGTCAAGATACAGAGAGTAGCAGAATGGATGAGAAAACATGGCCCATCAAAATGCTGTGTATAGTAGATGTACCTTAGACAAAAAGACAAAAAAGAGGTAAAAGTTGATGGATGAAAAAAAAATATATCAAAACAACCAAAAAAGAGTTGGAGAAGTAATATTTTGGATAAAATAGACTTTAAGGTAAACACCAGCATAAGATACAAGTAAGGGCATTATGTTGTAGTTAAGTGTGACTGAGTCAGTTTTGACTCATAGCAACTCTATAGGGTTTCTGAGGAGCAGCTGGTGGGTTTGAACTGCTGACCTTGTGGTTCACAGTCCGGTGCTGATCCTACAGCACCACTAATCATATCCCAGTTTTCTCTCAGATTTGTAGGAGCTCTCCCTTGGTTGAAAGGGTCCTACAGTTTTGGGATCCATAAAAGACAAACAGCTGGGGAAAAATCTCTCATATTGTAAAGTCTTATTTTGAATGTTAAAAAGAAATAAGAGTTTATTTTTTATTCTAAGTTAACTACATGGGGCATAGCAGTTATTTGAATGAAAAAAAATCTTTGCCTATATTTAGTGAGAAAAAATTTCCTTGACATTTAGCATGATGAAGTTAGTCAAAGTATCCCCTCAGGATGACTTTTTTTTTTTTTTTCTTCTACAGACTTCCATTCTATAAACAATTGACATCAGTCTGCTTGTGTCTATTTAGGTTTTAATTTAGACTATGGAGATTTAGCTTTCTTTCCTGAAATCTTAGATTTGAGCCTCTCATTAAAAAATCCTAAAAGGTTATTACTGAAAATTGACTAATCATTTTGTAGCCTTATTCTAAATTCTTTAAGAACATTTTCTTTTATGAAATAGGGGAATTAATACCTAATAGTGTTTTTAAGGAGCTGGTTACGAATCAGGCTGTGAACCTTAAGGCCAGCTGTTTGAAACTACCAGCTGCTCCGTGGGAGAAAGATGAGGCTTTCTGCTCCCGTAAAGATTTACAACCTCGGAACCCTGTTCAGGGTCGCTATGGGTCGGAACTGACTCGATGGCACTTAACAACAACAACAACAGTGTTTTTTAGGATGAAATGAAATTATATCCTTTAGGTATTATAGAACTATAGAGAAGTAAGAAATCCCTGGGTGGTAAAAATAGTTAATACACTTGGCTGCTAAACAAAAGGTTGGACATTTCAATACAACCATTGGTGTCTCAGAAGAAAGGTCTGACGATGTAGTTCTCAAAGTTAGCTAATGAAAGCATTATGGCTCACAACAGTATGTTGTTGTTGTTGTCAGGTGCCATCGAGTCGGAACTGACTCATAGCGACCCCATGCACAGAAAGAATATACCATCTAATATAGTGCTGAAGACGAACTCCCTATGCTAGACGGCATTCCAAATACAGAGTAGATGTAACAGTGAACTTGAGCATACCAACAATGATAAAGATGTTGCTAGACTGGACAAGTTGCTTCTCTTTAAAATGTTAGAATACCTATAGTGTTTCCCAAACAACACTTTTTCCCCAAGAGTATAAAACTGTAGTTAATATCATTAAGACTCAGAGATATTGACTAATCACTCCTTTATTAAATTAATATATTCTGTAATTCAGTGAATATTTGAGTATCCTTATACGCTAGGCACTATTTTAGTGACTGAGGATATGAAAGTCATCAAGACAAAGTCCCTTCCTATGGTGAGTCTGACAATGTAATGGGGTGTTCAGACAAGCTGATGGGCCCGTACATCACAATGATAATAATGTACTGCTAGTAATCATCTGCTAACTGAAATTTTTGTGGTTCAAAGCTACCTAGATGTTCTATAGAAGAAAGAACTATCTGCTCCCATAAAGACTGTTGTTGTTGTTGTGTGCCGTGGAGTCAGTTCCAACTCATAGAGACCCTGCACAGGGTTTCCGAGGCTATAAATCTTTACGGGCGCAGAAAACCTCATCTTTCTCCCGTGGAATAGCTGGTAGTTTCGAATTGCTGACCTTGCAGCTCACAGCCTGATTCATAACCACTACCAGAGCTCCTTAGGACCCATAAAGATTACAGTTTAGGAAATTTTATGGGGCCGTTCTACTCTTTCATGAGTTAGAAACCAAATTGATGGCACACAACAATAATGCTATGTTGTTGTTAAGTGCTGTTGAGTTGGTTGTGACTCATAACAACCCTGCATAGGGTTTCCAAGGAGTGGCTGGTGGCTTTGAACCACCAATTTTGTGGATAGCAGTCCAGTGCTTACCCTACAGCAGAATGATATTGAAACACATGAAAAGGGCATGTGAATCAGATTAGGAGACAGTAGTCAAGGAAGTTCTGCTGGAAAAAACATCTTTTAGGCTGAGATTTGAAGGATGATCTAGTCAGACAATGGGAAAAGTCAGCAATGGGGAGAAGATGAATGTGGGAGTGTTGCTTATTCAAGTTATTCTAAATCATGCAGATGAAGCTGAAACATACAGTCCCAGATAAGGAAGAGGTGGGAGACAAGGTTAGAGTTGAAACAGCAATCAGAATATTGCTACTCTGTGGTACACCTAAAAACCAGTCAACTTGATACGAGTTATGAAAAATATGGTATTTGGAAAGTTTTCATAAAATACCATTCATATTTTTATAATTAAATATATTGATTGGAGTCATAAAGGGTTTTAACTCAGTCAACCTCATCCACTCTCCTCATTGTATAGACAAAGAAAGTGAAGCCCAGAGATGTGAAGTGACTTGTCTAAGGTCACAAAGCAGGGTTCTCTGTCACAGCATGCAACAGAACTGAGATCTAATGCTGCCATAGTGTACTCATCTTTCTGACATTGCCTATTTGCTTATTTCTTGATGCATTTGAACTCTAAATTGAATTCTCTCATATCCCACACCTATTTACTAAGTAATTTTTGTATATTGAATTAAAATCAACAATTTATAATCTATTACTTCCTAGAAATAAGAGGCATTTTATATGCATTCAATAATTTCCCCAGTTTTATACATGTTGACTATCTCCAAATTCCTCGATTAAGTTTTCATGTCTGGATAGAGCTGTGACAAAGGCAATAGGTTAAGGCTTAAGCATCTAAAGTTCGACTTCAAAAGGCTTATTTTAAGCACGTAGTTAAGATGGCAAACATTAAATGTGCTGACTGTTGCAGTTCTGTGATTAATGCCAGAGATAATAACCAAACATGTTTTATTGCATAACTGATAACATTCTCACACAATGAAGATACTCAGATACTTTGAACTATTCAACACAGTTAAAACTAAATGCCAGCATTTGTTTTTATAGTTTTTGTAATCTCACCTGCTAAGACTCTTATCTTCATAAAACCACTGAGTTCCTGAATAAATATTGTGCCACAGATTTAAATCTTCTGGGGGATTTGATGCAAGTGGTTGCAGAATTTTACATCTCAGAAGCTCATATCTAAAGCAAAAGACAAGCAGGCACATCAGGATTATCTCAAGTAATGTTATTACCAAAATTGAAGTTGTTTTGTGGTGTGTGTGTGTGGTATGTGCATGTAAACATAATGAAAACATCTTATGTTTACAACTACAAAGCAGGTTGTTTTTTTTCAGAGAAACACTTTTCTGATTCTAGTTTTCATATATTCAGTTATTTTGAAACAATCTGTTAAATGTGGGGGCTTCAAAAAGCTCATAGAAATATGGAATTAAAAGATAATGGAAGCCATCTTAAATTATTTCACTATCGACAGCAAGAAATAT